CAATTGAAGAAAAAAAATCGGCTTTCACCCGCAATAAACTGAGTGGACTCAGCGACCAGGCTTGTGTCGCATAGCAACCTCCCTTTTCCACTGTGTGTGTGCGTGCGTGCGTTTCTATGTGTGTGTGTGTGTGTGTTTCTATGTGTGTGTGTGCATGTGCGTGTGTGCATGTGCGTGTGTGTGTGCGCGCGCTCACCCTCCTGTGCTGGGGCTTTGTTCACTTTGCTCAGCACTGTGGCTTTTTTTGTGGGGGGCTTTCCCTGAGGAGAGAAACAAAGAAATAAGTCTCATTGTCATAATTGTTTGTTTGCACTTCACCTCGTTGAGCAGGTTGTAGCATATTTAGCCATGTGTATATTTATTTACAACTGTATGCATGTACTGCAGGGGAAGAGGACTTTGTAGAGATTTCGATAAATTGTGTTTATATTTTCCCCAATATGTAAAGAGAAGATAAGTAAATATGTGATGAGACATTCTCCAATACCACTTTTGAGTTAATTTAGGAGAAATCTCCAGACCAAATGTGTCCGTTTACTCATTTAGTTTTGGAAAATCCGGACATCTATGGCCAGCCTATCAGTATTTTTATTAATCTGCATTTGTATTTATACTTTTGCTAATATTTTGTGGTTTGTACCCTTATTTTTTTATACTTTCAGACTCATTACTCCATGACACCAGAACAATATAACTACTGCCACCATGTGTTTGTAATGATAAACTACGGTATTACAAATATTTATTTTACTTCATAACAACCAGTGAAAACATTGTGAGGTTTAGAAGACACAAACTTCAGAAACTCACAACTAAAAACGTATTCTGTGCAGCCCTACATTTTCATTTCAACAATACCCAAAACATGAGTAACAAATACGTACTTTTGCAAAGAATTTGTAAGAAAAGCTCTTCTTGAAATGAATTGACCTTTACGAAATGAAGGACAATACAGTTCTTATATTATGATAATATATACTATTATTAATGGAAAATCATTTGTCGTTATTGATAATATGCCCGCTGTATTTATAAATCGTGATTACAACTTTCCATGCTCGCTTCCGATGTTACACGACCGCTCCGAAAAAAACAGCTTTCACGGTACGTCACGAGTAGAACACATTTGTTGAATAATACACAAACTATATGGCTGATGTCGGACTCTGGCTCGGATATTTCTACAGAATCGAGTGACAGTGAGCCGTCAATAGACTCGCTGCACTTTCAAGAAGAGGAGGATTTGATTGAAGAGGATGCCGGTGTGGTGGAATCTGTGGCTCAGTGGGTTAGTGCGCTGAACTTTGAATCAGGGGATAGCAAGTTCGAGTCCCACTGCAGTCGTCGTTGTGTCCCTGAGAAACTTCACCCCAAATTGCTCCTTTGGGGATTGCCCACACCCACTGTAAGTCGCTTTGGATAAAAGCGTCTAACAAGTGACATGTAATGAATAAGGTCATGCGGGCGAGTCTAACGTGGTGGAACCATACCAGTTTGAGCCACAGTATTCAAGTAGCGGTAGAGACAGACGGGAGCGAACATGGGGATGATGATCCTGGATTTGATGGAGAGCTGGTGCGGCAACAGAACACAGACTGGTATACATCTGACTTTAATTCAGAGATTCTCAATAAATAGTAAATAAATCGTAATGTAGCAGGCACACTTGGCTCAGGCAACAGAACACAGACTGGTATACATTTGACTGGAGCTGCATCTCACTTCGGTTAAATGGATTCCTTGCGTCCCTCACTTGCATTGTTTCCCTGCGTCTAGTCCCTCCCACCAGGGAAGCAAGGAGAGACGCAAGGAAACCACGAGAAGCAGGGAAATGAATTTTAAGAGCAATGGGACGTCGTTTTTGCATCTGCCCTGTACGATGGGCGCTGTAAGTGATGAAAGTGGGGGATGTTGACTTATCAGGCGCCCGCAGCTCACAGCCAAAGTGCGAGCGAGCCTCCGAGCGAGCAAGAGAGAGAGAGAGGGCGCGCATCGGTACCGCGGATTGTTGTTGGATTGAGGCTGATAACTACAGCTCAGTGAGGTAAAGGACTCTTGAGTGTTTAGATAGTTCACTTTAGTCTAAGTTATCTCAGTGGGTCTCAAACGGTTTGGTCACAATTGATGTAAACAAATATTTCCAAGGCACTCCTTTATAATTATTAGGATAAATAACAACAGGTTTGAAATCGTTCCAATGTATACTATAGGACAGTAACCAAAAATATCGTTTAAAACTGGAGAAATTAAAAGTATGCATGAATAAATAAATGTTAACTAGGTAAAATAAGATATAAATGAACAAC